TGTCGTTAGCATCAATGTGGAACAGATTCCTTGAAGTTAATAAGGGTTTGTTTCTATTTATTTCACTGGACATAAACTTAGATGAGAAATATTGGTTAAGTGATTGGAAGTTAAGTGAGTCAGGACTCGGATGATGGATGCGTGGAAGAGTCAGTGAACGAAGATACCTAAGGGTGTCCATACCGAAGAGGGAAGTTTGATTGAGGTACCCCGCCTCCAGCCTTTAACTCAAAAGTCCGACCCACGAGGCGGTGGGAAGATGTAGGGTTTTGTTGGAGGACACTGATCCTAAGTCCTGACTCAAAAGTCAGAACCAGGAGGCAGTGGTTATTACGGTATTTTTAGGGAACCTTCCCGGAGCTAACGACTCAGCAGTCTGAACAAATTGGTTGTAGGAAGCTGGCCTGATCGAGTGCAGAGTGTGAGGCATAACTGTCTGACTCCTAATGCGGCTCCACACAGCAAGTGCCTTTTAGCGGCATCAGACTATTACTTCGGCCGCATTGAATAAAGCCCCGGTAGCCACGGTCAACCGCTGGACTGGACTGTACGGATTTAGAGCTGATCTTTCCTAGCCCCTCCTTTCGGACCTTCATACTATCGCATAGGACAGTACGACCTTTTCTCCAGACCACCTCGTAATCCAATTTATCGCAGTACGGGGACCCACTGCTCTTCATCTGGCTGCTTCCCGTTGATATTCCGGGCATGTTTGAACCACAGAATTATTACACCACTGAAAACCAACCACCACAGCAAGGTGACCGCTTTCGGTCGGAACCCGGGTACATGATACACTTACAGCATCGACGGATGAGACTGAAGACTTCGAGTATTTAGTCACCGCAGCCTATTCTTAGTCACCACTTCTTGCCGTCAGGCTTATGACTGAGGATCAGGCGTAGTTCCATAGAACTTCTACAAGTGAGCTATCAAGAATAAGCTATCAGTCAACTGAAAAACATTGGGAATCTATTCAGGAGTCACCGAATGCATCTGGAAGACCATCGTTAGATTTATTATTGACGAGAAAAGTGTCGCATGTGACACGAAAGATTCGTCAGACCAAGTCCGAGGCAAAACAATGTGGGAATGTTTTCGGTGGGAATCATTGGAAGCAAAGAATGTGTTGAAAGCTGATGCTTCGCATGTTTTACATCCGATGGGCTCCAAAACGACATTTCGATGACAACAAACTAGTTTTGAGGACGACAAGTTACAAGTCTGCAAAGCGGAATGAGATCAACTAGCCGACGATGGACAGTGTTTTGTCGATTTCGCCAAAGCTTTCGACAGAGTTCCTTGGAAGTGACTGCAGAGCAAACTTTCTCTGTACGGGATTTAAGAGACCGCCTCCTTCAGGATGGCGAAAACCGCAAGGTGGACAACACATGACTTGGCGTAAAGGGGTGAAAAAGATCACGAAGAGTTTAGGTGTTGTTGGTTTTGTACGTCTTCCAGGATGGGGTCCCCGTGACCCCGTCTGTGCTTGGCGGCTAATCGATATCAGTGGCTTTCGTGCCGTCAGTTTCTTTCCAGATTGTCTGATTGAGCGGTTGGCACCTCAGAATGCTTGACATAGACCAGCACTAGGTCCCTTCCGTCACCTACTCTTTTTCTCTTCCTTTCACCCTAGGGCTTTTAATTTATATGCCGTCTTTGATGACGATGATGCAGGACTTTTCAACTTTAAGTCAACGGCATAGTATCACCAATCGTCGCCTCCAAGGGAGCATAATTCTTACCTCTGCCCTGTTTGAACAAAGCTTGGCCGACCGGTTTTTCACCGTTGACCCAGCGAACACACGGTGGGGACATGGTAAGTTTTCCAAGCTCAGAGTGTACACATTCATTGGGCGGAATTTTTCTCACTTTGGGTAGTAGATGCGTAGAATGACCTTCCTCCGGTGGTTTGCCACGCTCCTTCAAGAATCCAGTCCAAAGCACTATAAGATACTTATTTATGCGAGTCCTTGCGCTGGTAAGCACACTGCCCACGCTGAGAATATAAAGAGCAGTGATACACACTTTTTTCATGTGAACGACAGCCGCTGAACGACAAGCACAAAACCGACCCGGGGAACCTGGGCAAAAGTATCGATCCTGAGTATCAATCCGTGAATCCGTGAACAGTCCACGGCGATACGCGCTGTAACGGGAGTTACAGGGGCATTCAGCCCCGCTTTTACCCATCAAGCTATCCACTGCTCCAATTTCCTATCCACAAGACATCATGGTCAGTACGCATATTTTTCTGTACGTCTGATAATTCGTCGCTTCGAATTGTGCCCGAAAATGTCGGGGACGAGAGTGTCATTTGATCTGATATTCAGAGCTTGCAAGTTGGCTGTGCCATGCCAGCCAGATTTTCGCCAGCCATATTACCGCGCGAAACCCCAGACAAAGTGCACTCCGCGGGGAAAAGTCTTCCGCTGGCGTAACAAGTATGAAACCAGGAGACTATCTGACGAGTTCCTTAGACCCCAGTTTGTGCGATTTGCTGGTGCTGGGCCCAGTGCCTGCTATTGCGTTCATTGAAAACGAGTCACAAAAACAATGAGCCGCGTGCGCTCGAACAACACAGTTTCACCATACCAGGATATGTTTAATATCGGAGCCTGTCGTCTAAATTCATTTGACGGATTTCCGAATGATATTAGGAATCAAGTGGGTTTAGTAACAGCAAAACTGAAAGCCTTAGGCTTTGCTGGTACTAAACTCACTTGATTCCTCCATGCTAGCATGGAGAAGAAACCGATCGTTATAAATGAAAGGCCCAAGTTTACTCTCGAGCGTCAGGAGACCTCAATGACCATCAACTGGGTGTTTGGATGTGCAGCTGATGCACGTTACAACGAAAATTGACTTCGCGTTCGCATGCCTGAATGAAGTGACGAGGACAGACCGTGGCGAACTGCTGGCCATTCTGGTTCCCTTGGCATGACGCCTGGCAGCTGTTCTTTCACGCTTCATTACGACGACCACGTGCGGCTGAACTTCGACTCAAATGTTCTTAAGTAACTTTCAAATAGGGAGGACCGGGCTACCAAATTCCCGCTATTGGCCGACTCCACTTCGTACAGCGTCATCCCCATTCTGATTGGTTGAAACCTCAATGGTTGGAACATCCGAAAATGGGGGCTCTGTTGAATGGAGGTTTATGATTAAACCCTTGAACGCAGCAGAGCATCACCCGGGTGAGAACGAAATGCCCAGTGGGTGGTTACTCGGTTCAAAGAGAAAGTTAATTGAAAAGGAGGAGGATAGAATGGAGCATGGAAGCGGAAAAGAAGCACGTTTGAGGATTCCGTGGTCTGTAACTCAAGGTTCTCGGGGCACCATGAGGGTTGCACGCTGAGCGCACAGGCCTATCCCGAATTCATGGTCTGCGGTATCGGACAGTGTCCAATCTGGGTGGCCGGCGTTAAGTGGTAGGGTAGTAAGCCAACATATTCCATCGATCCAGAAGTTTTTCACGACACTGGCACCAGTACCGTAGATGAATGAGGGTAAATTTTGTTTGAGGAAGTTAATGGGTTCGACTTATTGGATGAGGAAAGGTGGATATGAACAGTGGTGGCACAAGCGGGTAGGTATTATATGATCAGGATGACAGTTGCTAGTTTGTTTGGGTGATGAATTAAATCAGCTCAGACGGCGACCGTGTATGTATTTGGTAAAAGGCGGGATGGAAAGGCCTTGGCAGATGTAAATGTGGGATTTAGAATGTGGGTATGGAGTTGGTGCGGGTGGCCTTATTTCTAGTGTGGTGTGGGGATGATGGCCCCCAAGAACAGGGAAATCCATGGCATCTGGCTGCTGGAATGTGGTCAGTGGATGATGAACCAGTAAACGATGGATTTTGACAGTCACTTGAATGGAGGTGGAAGTTCATTTGGTGGTTTGTTTGGGATCACACAGTGACGATGGACGGGAGTCTGGGTTGAGAAGTTTTTAAATATTTCACCCCAAGACGCAAGCTCCGAAGATTTTAAGTCTGGAAGAAAGAGAGTGTACCCAGTTAGCACGCGTCCGCTCCTGGGTGCAGAACCTGTGCGGAATCTGCGCGGAACTTCTGCACTAATTTTCGGCTTTTAAGCCTCGCGAGCTTGAGACGTTTAATAGACATAAGAGCTTCTTTATTTGTCTCACAGTAATAAAAAACCACAATACCTTCCATTTCCGTGTGCCTAGGAGATGCAAACGGTCAACCGATTTAAGTGGTTTTGTTTTACTGTGCGGCGCCATTGCTCGCGGGAAGCTCTGCGTTCTGCTTGTCCTCACGTGCGGCTGAAAGTGAGTTTTGTTGTGCTTTCATATATTTTATTCCCGGTGTGTTTACGTGAACGAAACCGTAAAAAATATTTTTCATTTCAAGTAACCGTCAGTGCGCCCGAAATTTGTTCGTGTTGCTCGTAAAGACTCTTCAAGAACAACCCCATATGGGAAAGTACGGTAGGTGGTTGCGGCAAGTGGCTGTTTTCGTTAATCGATTGATGAATACGTCCATAATGCCTTTAGTCGACTATCTGGGGGTAAGATTCATGATTAATCAGATGATAGGCTGCAGATATGCCGAATTTGACCGTTCCAGGTGATAAACTAGGCTGCGATTTACCACGATGTTCGCCGGCGGTTTCCCCGATCCCTGTTATCAGGAATTTGGAACCAGAAAGACATTCACCACTGCGGTCCCTGGAGAACCTCTCGGTTCCTGCTTTTTGCCATGAGGTAGCCCACTGCAAGTCGTTGAAGGGATCAGTCCGTAAGTTCTGCTTGCACTTATATTGCTTTTCATCAGTATCCTTTTTAAACCATTCACAACCAGGAAGAAATATCTTAACGGCTGTTCGTCGGATGGCGCGTAGGCTGAAACTACCTTTATCCGGTTTAGCCGTTGTGTTGGACGAGCTCAGATACTTTTTTCCGTCTCTTCCGAAGGATCCACGGGCCGTAACGAAACCCCCAGTCGTTGCTGCGTGCGACAGAAGGCCGGTGGGATGTACATCCACCTTGGGTTGAAAGCATTTTCGCTGCAGCAGCTCCATGAGATTCAGATCGGGGTTACAAATAACGAAATTCAAATGAACGTTGACGGTACTCGAGCCTATAACAACTCGCGTACTCAAGTGTGGCCTATACTCTCCCGGATAATTTCACCCATTCTCGGTCAGCCCTTCGTCGTTGGAGTATACTGTGGTAAGCAAAAACCCAATGATGCTCATCAGCTGATATCTAACATGGTCGCTGAGTTGACAGACGTCTTGGCGAACGGTGTCTCCGGGGTTTACAACACTCACGCCGTCCGTCTTCAGTGCATTATTCGTGATAGTCCTGCTAGGGCCTTTCTGAAGCAAGTGAAGGGACATACAGGATATTATGGTTGGGATTATTATACGCAAAAGGGTGTGCACATTGACACACGTATGACTTTTCCCTCGTTGAGAGCTCCTTTGCGTCGTGACTATGATATCCGGACCAGAAAGCAAGAGAAGCACCATATAGGTCCGAGTCCGATGGAGGAGTTAAATTTTCCCACGATTGACGGTTTCTCACCAGATTACATGCATAGTGTGTCTTGGTTTAGTGCGGAAATTTCACATCTTACTCAGAGCAATGCCAATTGGACACAAGGCCAGGCTTTCTTTGGAGTCCTGGAATCTGCTGATTGATAACATTGAGCAACATAGTTTGGATCTGGGTATTGATTTCCCCCGAAAATGTCGAGGTGTCGTAGACCTGGGTCGGTGGCAGGCATCTGAGCTACGACAATTTCTTCTGTACATAGGACCCGTTGTTTTACAAGATATCTTACATCCTGACGTTTACGAATGTTTCGTGTAGCTTTTGGTAACCACTTTCATAGGCTGTTCACCTTTTTTCATAACACTATGCTGATTTTTAATTGATGTTTCCAAGGTTGCTGTGTTCAAATTTGCGGCTATTTTTGGTCCCAGCCATTTAGTCTACAACATACACCTCTTGTCCCATTTATTCAATTTCGTTAAGCTTTGTGGTTGCTTGGATCGTTTTTCCTGTTTTCCCTATGAATCGGAGCTGGGGCATTTGAAGCATTACATACATGGGCCTAAACCACCAGCTGTTCAGCTTTACCGCCGACTGGCCGACGTGTGGGTTTGGATGCTGTCGAAAGGAAGATATTTTTGGATGATGTCGGTTTGCGACTGAGGCCATCAGCCACTGCCGGATGTCACAGGTTTATTCATAGGGATGTCGTTTTTTCGAAAATCTTTCCTGACAGCTGCATTTTGCCTGGTGGTCAACCAGCTATCATTGTAGATTTTCTGGAGATACTATTGTATACCAGAAATTCAAAACTGTTCTCCCGTTTTACACTCACGTATTGCAACCGACAGACGTTTTAGTTTTTCAATGCTCCGACTTGCAACACACTCGGCTGTTTGCATCAGTCGACTAAATATATTGTAAATGCTTAAGTATTTCCTGCAGAGACACTCGCATATACTTCCCCATTTTGTATACCCTCCCTTATCGACTAAATATATTGTAAATGCTTAAGTATTTCCTGCAGAGACACTCGCATATACTTCCCCATTTTGTATACCCTTACCGATTAGTCAGTACTCTTACCACTGGCACTCGACACATGTATGCATTTATTACCTGTATTACTCATTAATTCGTAAAATATATATACATATTTATGTTGGTGTTGTGTTATTCCATCAAAGCTTCCGTTTTCATGCGGATATTCCCCTGTTAAGTGTCGTAGTTGGAAGTTGTTTTTCAGCCATGTACGCTGTTCTCATAGTTGCGGACAACTCTGTTGGTATAGTGCATGAATCGTGGTTCGTACCGCCCGATTCAGTCCTTTGGCCCTCGTGCACAACCAGCACTCTTTATGCAAACTTACTGAGGGGTACTCTACCAAAATGTCCACTCTAATCGTGCCCGTACGAAATGTATCGGCAGTGCAGTAAGTTCATGTTCAGTTAAAAATGTTCTAGAAACTTTTCTGGATGCTCGGCAGGAAGCCCTCGAATCAGGGCATACCTCCTCTGCGGAGCAAAACGATGAACGGCTCGTACGTCAGTCCAGGCGCGAACAGTATGTTCATCAATCGTATTACATTGATTGCAGTACAAAGAAACGGCTGCCGTCTGATTTTACAAACGAGTCGGATCGTGATTCCAGTGGTGACACCACTTCGTTTGCAAACATAGTCGTAAGCCCACCAACTCCAAAAAGACTGTAGGTCCTCCCGCACCTACCAACTTTTCAACTCGTAAAATCCTCACTTTCAGATGTACTAATCCGACTTCCATGATTAGTAGTATCGTTCCTGTTCAAGACGCGCCACCCGTCCCTCTTGATGCCCCGATGATGTGTGGAACGTACGTTTTATTTTGTTACCACCATCTAGAATCTATCAGCAGTTCCACGTATACAACACTTCCCGCCGTGGGCGCTCCAGAAACACGCAGTTCTACCCCAATCCTCAGGTTTCCTTAACCTTCCATGTACTTTAATTTCTAGAACTAACTTTCCAAATTCCAAGGCCGGGGTATTTTCCCCGGACCTGGCCAACCACATTCTCAGTGAGTCGACTACCATGTTTTAATTAAACTATTTTATAGGGAATTTAGAGGGGATTTACTCGTCGCTCCAAAGACTGTACATGAACCTGGACGCTTTGGTACCCACCAGCAGTTCTGAGGCACTCAACGAGCCCACTTTTCCGCTTTCATCCACGGATGATCTCCGAAAGTATGGAGAAAGTCTAAGAGATGGTCCGCGCTATGTACAGCTGGTAAGTATTAGTTTTAGTCACGATTGTTGATTTCACAAAGGTGGAAAGGTGGCTTTGCAGGAGGCTGGCGATGTACAAGTGTACGTGACCAACGTGCTTATGCGGACGTTGGCGCCAAGGCTAGCCGTAACACTCAACTGGCGCGGAATAAATGAAAAAAGCCTTCGGGTCAACCACGCTGGCCCAAGGACTTATTTGTAAGTGGTTAATTGTTATTTTATATTTAGCTAGTTGAATCAGTGTCTGGATGAAACTCAATAACTATGTTCTTCATTACAGACGCCGACAACTGAAAGTTTCCGAACACAAATCTTCGATATATGAAGAAAATCATTCATTGCTGGCTGGAGAACGGCAGAATGTTCGGAAACGCCTGTAGAGAGCCACCAAGAGTGACAAATGATTTCCTCCTGTATTTTTTAAAAATTCATTCAATAAAACATTTGTACTTGAAGGCGCTTATTGATATCCGGAAAGGTAATAAGCTGAGCAATTATGTGGGGGCAGATGGGCTATCACTTAGTGTTTAGGATTTTACTGAATCGTAACAACTTTAGCTAAGTGCGGACTGGGTGCAGAAATCCCGGTACTGAGTACGGATTTTCCACACCTGGGTGCGGAAACGTATGCACTATTTCCGCATCTGGGAGCAGAAGTGTGCGGAAATTTCCGCACCCGGGTGCAGAAGTGTGCGGATTTTGTGCGGAAATTTCCGCACCCGAGTGCGGACTTGGTGCGGAAACTTGTTTCACTTCCGCACTGGTTGCGCATCTGGGTGCAGAAATCTGCGGAAACTGCGCGGAAATGAACGCATCCGGGTGCAGACGTTGTGCAGAAANTTTTACTGAATCGTACTAGGGAAAGAGATAAAACTGTGTAAGGGCTACGCTTGCGTGTCGGACAACTTTAGCTAAGTGCGGACTGGGTGCAGAAATCCCGGTACTGAGTACGGATTTTCCACACCTGGGTGCGGAAACGTATGCACTATTTCCGCATCTGGGAGCAGAAGTGTGCGGAAATTTCCGCACCCGGGTGCAGAAGTGTGCGGATTTTGTGCGGAAATTTCCGCACCCGAGTGCGGACTTGGTGCGGAAACTTGTTTCACTTCCGCACTGGTTGCGCACCTGGGTGCAGAAATCTGCGGAAACTGCGCGGAAATGAACGCATCCGGGTGCAGACGTTGTGCAGAAATTTCTGCACCGGTGCTAACTGGGTAGTTTCGGGCTGATGTACTGGTGTGTATGGCCGGACTTGGCAGAGACGATCCCGGGCACCAGTTTATCTGTCCTAACATTCCGAGGTTTTGGGGTGCATCAGCTTTTAGTGTTATGGGGTAAACTTGTATGTGGGTTATGAGGGAAGTCGGAGAAGTGTCATGAAGGCGCATGACTTCCAGTTGAGGTTCTGTTTGGTGATATAATGAAGGTAAATAATTGGGGGACAGTAGAGCGATCGTGTTGTTTTGAGTTGGCCATTTGGGAACTTGGATGGTGGCATCCGCCAACGAGACACGTACCAGGAAATTTCCCCTTGGATAAATTTGGTGGCGGAATATGAAATTTTCATGGCGAACAGTAAAAATACGCGTCGGAGCCAGAAAACGAATTAGCACTCTTCTATTTAGGCGAGTGTAGCGCGGCTTAGCGTAGAGGGGCCGTTCAAAATGAACCAAAAGCTTCTTGGGCTACCCGCATAGGAGGGGTTGCCGGAACTGTATATGCGAGGTTCGGTAACGTCTACTTTCGAAGGGAAGCCAATGTTCTGTGAAATTGAGTTTTTGGACCTAACCAAATAATTAGCTCAAGCTCAAGTGGTCCTTCCAACCAGAAACCACGAAAGTCTTCTGTCGTTTGCGGTGCTTGTGTCAATTTAGGAAGAAACCCCCAATCCTAGCTGCCTGGCGTCTATGGCTGCCGCGATACCAACAATATTTTTAGGGTTAATTTATCCTCCTTACTGGATATCTGGATTACAGAAAAATGGGAAGGGAAGGGTGAGTTGGAAGTTGCGTGTGCCCGTTGGACGGACGATCGGGACGGGTTTTTTGGAGGAATGGACCGACTCCAGATGAGACAAATTAACCAGCCCGTTGGCATCCGTCTGGACCAACTTTCGCGGCAAGAGGTTGCGGAGAACGTTTCATCATTGGTTTGGATGCAAAAGTGAATGAAGTTATGGACAGAGGTTAGATGGGTCTTGGTGTAGTATACACTGTCAATTTGATCGATTTGTATGTGAGCATTGGTGATGCACAACCCTGCTTACTTGGTTTTGGCTCATGAACTTTGCTTCTGTTTTCCATCCACCGAAATTGTCGTAAACCACCACTATTTGCACTTCATTCCAGGCTGCTATTGGTGTCGTTTTGTGAGTTATTCTTCTGGTTGGCATGGTGTCCAGAGCTCAAACTTTACTTGAAACCCGGTGGAGCCCTCTACCCGCAATTCAACTCAGCGGAACCACCGCACGATATGAGTACACTCGAGCTACGAGGTCTTCGCGAGCACCCCGCAGCGCACCGGTAAATGCGCGCAACTAAACCGAATTGATTTGGATGACATCCGACGCACCGCTGACGAGAAAAAATGGTAAGAGAATGATCTTTTCTTTAGCATAGATTACACGGATCTCTGCCAATAGCCGCGCGTAAATCTGGGCGGAGCTCCTGGCTTTATTATCCGGAACCCGACCTGTTTGTATATTTCTCCACTCACAATCTAACTGATTGGATCTTATCGTCTAATGAGCAGTATTGGTCATGCAGCGGTTATGTCCTCGTAAATAAGCACAGATGGCCGCCCGGTCAACAGACGTTCAGCTTAATATGTTCAGTCGTTCGGCGCGCGCAGTTGAGCAGCCGCAAAATGGATAGAAACACCTGGTATTACACTAGAACTTATAAGTAACTTTTCGTCCCGGCATTTAGCCAACCCATGCTGAAAGCCAAAAAGACCAATACGGCCATTTCATCCGCGTTTGGGGGCAGGCACTTCAAATGATTCATAATAAAAATGTCACGGCCGTAGAGCGATTCCGGGTTCTTGAAATGGGTGGAGGTAATTTCTATTGAAAACTTCAAAATCTAGTAACATCATGATAAGTTGAGACTGGTCTGCGTCGCGACTTCAAACACAAGGCAAGCACAAAATCACTAGAATTTAGATCCAAAACAGATTATAGCCGGACTAATGGGGTTGTAAAACAAACTTAACATGAAATTTGTGGACAAAATTATGGAGGAAAACTGGTAAGTTCGCAAAAACCGGACCCAAACCTGGATCATTTCTTAGGTATTCGGGTTCTGCCTAACTTGCATTTTTCAGCCAATTAGATGGCCTTGGATATGACGCAGTGGTTGTACTATGGGCAACAGAGTGGCTGATTATTCACTTAGTGAACTCGTTCAACTGCACAAATGCTGTGGTCTGGCTCCCCTGATCCAAGTGGGAGAAGGTCGAAAAGATCACTCATCCACCAAAAGAATTTCTTAAATGCCCCATTTTTATCATTTTGATAACCGAATTCTGCGTTTTCTCGTAGCTAAGGAGTTATCCACCTGCTGCCTTCGTGCCCACTGGTTTAGGTTTGGCATTATTGCACAAGTCGCTTCAAATGATCCACCAAACAAGTGAAAATTTCCAACAAGCCAGCTTTTTTCGGACGTCCGGCTTCATTGTGCCAACTTCATTTTGTAGCCTTTCGAGAGCTCAAAATGTTTTTTCTACTGCAGTGGTTTGAAAAGCCGCTTTTGCTAAAGAACACCCTTTTATGCTATCCTAGAGCTACCGCAGCTGGATGACCCACCTCTGCGGCAGCTTCACAGAGAGTGGGAGCGGGTTTGAATAGCCACGGCTGCACGTCCAGTGAAACTACCATTGAGCGCTATCTTTAAAGTGGCGCTAAATTGGTTACCGTAGCAGTGTACAGTGAGTTGCGCACTGATATATTTACACGAATATAATGATCTTACTGTGCACTTGTCGAACGTCATGCATAAATCTTTGCTAAGGCTTCTACCTGAAAAACAACCTCAGGTGTACAAAAATTTGTCTATAAATTAAAGACACTGTGTTCAACCATCTACAGCCGACTATTATCTGCATAAACTAAGGAAGTCCGCACTCGAATAAAAGCACTGTCCTAAGGCTGATCACGAACGAAGACATTGCCATTATCTGCAGCAATCTATTCGGAAAATAATAACCCCTTCCACCGTGCAGCAATAGGGGCAACATTAACCCGAATATTTAATTCCCGGAACGTGGTTTTATTTTATTATTTTTATTTTTTTTCGGCAAGTTCTGAAGTATGTTATCTGAGGAGCTTTGGGAGTTGTGTAACTGGCGGTTGCAAAAACGTAAAAGGTCACGAACTATATCTCTGAATTTTTGGCGTTAGATTTCTTGTCACGAGCGTGGATGAGTAAATGTGTCGGCGCAAATTTTGGTGTTGCGGTTTGTCGTTACCCTAACAACTTATATAGACAAATGATAAAGATGTCAGGTAAAACCACGATGCTGTGTTAAGTAAAACGTGGACCTGGCTTATAGGAAAACCTTAAAAATACCTACTTTGGTGTTTGAGGAAATTTGACGCGGGTAGACGGATAGACATCATCTGTTTGCTAGCCAGAACTTCAAAGTCTGGTAAAAATTCTTTTTAGACTCCGGGAGTTCCGTAGCACTTTAAGGAACTTTTGCGTAGCAATTAATTATTTACACTCACCCATTTCCCCGAATGTTCCTCACATGAACCTGATCTTGCCAGTATAAATCCTTCGATGTTTTTTTTCATAGAGACCGGCAACCCCTAACATTACCCTATGCCTACATTCTGGCACTCATACTCCTTGGCTCACAAGAAACAGTGGTCCTTCGATCCTTTCGATAATTTGAAATCATCCCACAATTTACAATACGGGCACCCTCCAGTAAACCGAGGACTCCGTTTTCCGGCACCGTATACAGGCCCTTCTTCAATGTTTGTAAACAGACTATGTT